CCCCACCCCCACCCCGTGCAGATGGGAGGGAAAAGCTAATTTAACCCTGAGTCTTGTTCAGCTAGCACGAGGATAGTTTCAGTCGGTGCCGCAGACACTAGGCTGCCGTGCGCACGCCAGTTTCCTGTGTAAACATTCCCTTTTCTTTCTTACAGTACAAGCCCACCACCAACAGCAGTTGTAAGGCTGCCCTGGAGGAACCGAAAGGCCAGATCCCCTCTCCCCTTCTACTGCTTCTACCAACTGGAAGCACAGAAAACTAGAATTTCATTTATTTTGTTTTTAAAAATACATGTTGATTTCTTGTAACATCCAATAGGAATGCTAACGGTTCACCTTGCAGTGGAAGATGTTTGGACCGAATAGTGGCATTTAGGGACTCGTGGGCTGTTCCTTAATTCCATACGCTGTTCAGATCCCGCAAGTACCCCAGCTCTGCTTGCCGAAACTGGAAGTTATTTATTTTTTAACGACCCTTTGAAAGTCATGAACACATCAGCTAGCAAAAGAAGTAACAAGAGTCATTCTTGCTGCTATTATCGCTAAAAAGGAAAAAAATCAAGACTCGGAACACCCTTTTATTAAACTTGACAAAGTTTCCATAAATTCTTACCGTCAAACTGACGGATTATTATTTATAAATCAAGTTTGATGAGGTGATCGCTGTCTCTACAGTGGTTCAACTTTTAAGTTAAGGGAAAAACTTTTACTTTGTAGATAATATAAAATAAAAACTTAAAAAAAATTAAAAAATAAAAAAAGTTTTAAAAACTGACCAGAAGCTAGCGTGTGTTTGTATGAGCTCCCGTTACCGAGGAGACCTGCCCTCAAGCCAGGAGGCTGGATGGACATTCGTAATGTTCCACAAGGCGGCCGTCAAGTGATTTCTCTTCTTCATCTTTAGTTCTGGTTCGAGGTGTCTCTAGAAAAAGCCAAGACTGAGCTATTCTCTGTGGACTAGCGGCCGGCTGCGGGACGAGGAAGGCAGCCAGAGCTGGCGTGCTGAGGCCCACGCCCTCGCACCGACACCCACTGTGTAAGCTTCCTTCTTGCTATCCACTGAGCCCATGCGACTGGTGTTAGCTGTGCGCGGTCTGGGTGCAGACAGCTGTCTTCACCAGTAGGGGGCAGGAGATACTCTTTTAAAAAAATGTCAAAGGAAATTAGAAGAGGACACAGGGGCTGACCGGATGCTGGGCTAGGCAGCGCCGCTAACTCAGTGCGGTTCTGCACCAGTCACACCCCCGGATTGTAGGAGGGGGTCAGGGGAGAAGCAAGTGTCTGAGTGGGGGCAGGGGTTTGTAAAGAAGCCACAGGGGAAGGAAACAGCCGGTGAATAGCTTGGCAACCAGTCAAGGTTCTGAAAACTTTTTTTTTTAATTCACAGAGCAATCTGTACATGATAGCAAAATGTGCGTTATTCAAGAATAAGTTACTTATACAGTACATAAACAATACATGAACATCTGCCAGACACCTTCTGCCTGAAAAGGTAACAAAGTGAGTCCACTTTCTGTGTTGTCCTTACAATGTACTGCTTGTCTCGACCACACACACTCGATGTCAGGAGGCAGTGGGTAACTGTCAGGTCCCTGTGTCCCCTGGGGGCTGGAGAGCTGGCTGAGCCCTGGATGAGACCTTGCAGGGGTCTCAGCTGACCCTCAGGGAGAGGTCAAGGCCAGGCTTGTAGGTTAAGAAGCTGTTAATGTGAAAAATAGTATTCTCTGGCCCAAGATATTAATGATTGCTATTCCTTTTTCCTACACGGTCCAGAAATGATCAAAGGCAGAAGATTTATACCAGATAAAGCCATGTGGATTGATTGCTGGTCTAAATTGAAGGCAGGTTAGTTGACTTAATTCTTTGGTGCTGGTGACTGTTAGTGTTAAAAGGTGACTGAAGTTGGATGAAGGAGGTGATGGTGCTGGGGGCTGTCAAGCTATGCTTGTTTCCTGTAATCAGGTGTAACTGGAGGGGTCATGTGGCACTCTGGGCCGTGGTGGAGGGTGGTGGTCTGGTTGTGGCCAGCAAGGAGGGAGGTGCCCAGGAGAGGCATTGGCTTAGTGCCAGTCTCCCCCCACCCCAGGCCCCAACACTAAGGGGGCTTTTTGCTGGTAACCAGGATAGGTTTAGGAAGGAGCTACTTTCTTGGATATTTCAGTCTGGCGGTGTGAGGTGGGTGATGTCTGCTAAAACCTGGCAGCCATGGGACCAGTGCTGCTGGTTGGCTGGGCCTAGTCTACCTCTGGACACCACCTGACAGGTATCTGTTGAGGGGCAGCTAAGTAGCGGAGCCCTGGCCGGCAGAGGCCCTCTCCCAGATGGCCAGACTTCTGGTGGAGGAAGTGCACGTCCTCGGCTTAGTGTCTACTCATGGCCAGTGGTTTGTCAGCAGTGACCTTCTGTATGGAGCTCTCTTTGAAACGGGAAATCCAGATTTGTCATTCCTTTGGTCTACACTTGGTATGTTTCAGAAGTTGGTCTGACATGTAGAAAGGAAAGGCAGGCAGGTGTTTTAGGAGTGGTCCACAGACCTGGGTCAGGTTTGGATTAACAGTCTGAGAGCACTAAGGAAGTTTGGTTTTAAAATGGTGCAGAGGTGGATGCTTGCCCACCCTCCAGAAAAAAACCCAGAAAGTTCTAGAAGCAAAAGTCTGGCTTACAGAGAATAGCTGGAGGGAGCAGACAAACCCGCGCCTGAGAGAAGGTGGTCAGGCTGTCGGCTGGACGCCGGGGTTTAGTTCCACCCAGTGGGCGTTTGTATAAATGCCATGCTGACACCCCCCCCCCCCGGTCACTGCCACCTGCTCCTGAGCCTTCACACAAAAGTGCTGGGAGAAGCCAGTCAGTCCCCTGGTGAATTTGTGACTTGTTAGGGGAGGCGAGAGGAGCTGTAGCTTCAGGGTTGGCCGAGCAGGGAGGGGGTGTGCACCTGTACACACACCCTTCCTCAGGCCCTGTCGGCAGCACCCAGCGGGGACAGAGCAGGGCTTGCGGACTCTTCTCGAAGGGAGGTTTTCATCAGCTTTGACACCAGATCTCTAGCTTCCATTTTGGCTTGTGACTGAGCCAAACGCTCACGTGTAGGGTAATTTAATAATCATTAAGAGCTTTTTTGGGGGGGGGAGCTGCTGGTGAAGGATTTACCAGAAAGGGTCCAGGGCCCTTCTTCCTCTTTTGTGGTCCTCCCTCCAATTAATTTAACTCTTGCCACAAAGCTGCTGTAACCAGAATCCCGTTTTTTATTCATAAGGCACCAGGGTAGAGCTATCTGTTGCCACCTGATCTCAGTAATGCCTGAACTTCCCTTCTCTCTGCACAGCCAGGACAGTGGCCACTCAGCAGCAGGTGACTGTCCCGAGGACGCAGGAGACAAGCATCTGGGACGGGGAGCCTCGTCAGGGAGGGTTGGTTTGCATAGCTGTCTCTGACTACACGGGTCAATCACATGGCTGTTAGTTTAAACAGTGCAATGAAATAAGCAACGGTTAATTTGGAAACCTGAATCCTTTAAAAAATTAATCTGAGGTAAAAATGTTTAAAAATCGTTTTGACCTTTTAGCTTGTCCCTCTGATGGAGCAAGTCCTCAAGCTGAGTCAAAGCAGGATGAGGTGTGGCTCCCCTGTGGCAGGTACTACAAGGGGGCCCCACATGAGAATCCAGGGCTGTTAGTGTTTTGGGCTTCTGATGACCCCTTCTAGAAAGTCTGTCATCAGCTGTGACAGTGTCAGTGAGAAAGAGAACAAGTTTCCACTGCCAGCTCTGGGCCTCACCCTGCCTGCCGCCTATAGTGACAGGGACTGGTCTAGGACCTGGCAGCATCAGAACAGGAACTCCATCTGTAAACAGTACAGAGAGCCAAGGGGTCCAAGGCCTCATAGGAAGCCTGTCCACAGGCCTGACAGGAGGGGCAGGGTTCCCTTTAGTCTCTCTCTGGGAGGGAGGCAAGGTGATTACATTCAAGTCTGTCCCCATCTCCGCCTCCCCAGTGTCAGAGGGGCGTGTACTGATTGTCAATGGCCCTCAAGCGTCTCCGTGAGGATGTGTCCAGTTCGTAGTCCGAGTCTTGAAGCCCGGGCTCTAGGAGCCGTAGGCTGTCGGCTAGCTCCTCAGGCGAAGGCACCCGGTGGAAGATCTGCTCTGGGGGTGAGGAGCGGCCGGGGGGCACCTCGGGGCCCAGTCCCCGGGGACAGACAGGAGAGCGAGAGCCAAGGTGGAGGAGGCCGGGCTCCGAGTCCCATCGCGGCAGGGAGAACGGGAACAGGACAGTGTCGCAGGGTCCTGCAGACAAGGCACCAGAGAGACCACAGCGTCAGGGTGGGTGGGGGGCTGCAGCTCTCACCCCCCGCCGATGGGCAGGAGAGGGTCCCACCTGGGGGCTGGGAGACGACGACCACGTAGCTGGACAGGCGGACGTCACAGGCAGCGCCGCACTCGAGCGGGATGGGCGAGCGCTGGAAGTGGTGCAGCATGTCCAGCACCGAGGGGAAGCGCAGGTGCTGCACGCGGCACTGGCCCCGCTCGCTCAGCGACAGGCGCAGGTGCTGCGGGCGGGAGACGCAGGCTCAGGACCAGCCCCGGGCCCGCAAGGCCTGGGGCAGACCCGCCCGGCCGTACCTTGGCAACGCCCTGGAAGTTGAAGGTGAGCACGTACTCGCCGCGGCGCGTCTCACTTTGCCGCACCAGGAACACGCCATGTGCAGCGGGGCCCTGCAGTTGGACCAGCTGGGCTGCCTTCACTCGGGAGATGGGGCCATGGAACCAGGGGTAGCAGGACAGGAAGTGGTCCGTTTTCTGGCAGACTGGGTCCAGCAATCCCCCAGGAGAAGCGCCTGGAAGAGAAGGAAGTGATGGTGACACACGTCGGGGTGCACCTGTGTACCAACGGACAGAGGTGCAGCCCCTCACCTTGGTTCAGGGAGTCTGTGCTTCCCCTCGGGGAGCTGGCCAGGCCGGGCTCTAGGACCGAGGGCACAGGCGACTGCAGCTCCGAGTCGCTCTCCAGCCTGCTGGAGAAGGGGCAGGGCAGGGTGAGGACCTGGTAGGTTGGGGTCCAGGACAGGGCACGGCAGGGGGGCTCGGGGCTGCGGGCCTCACCCTCGGCCTGTGCGCTCGCAGAGCTCGGCCATCCACGTGTTCAGCTGCTGCTCATCTCCCACCTCAAAGATGATGTCTGTGCGCTCCTTCACCTGGCAGGAGGCAGGGGCGCAGCTCAGGCTCTGCGGCCCCAGCCTCGTGGGCCTGTTGGGGAAGGCCTGTCACTCACCTTGAGCACAAAGGTGTAGAGGTTGTCCGGCATCTCCAGGCGCGTGCAGCGCCGCACCTCCTGGATGCTGGAGCAGGCCATCTGTAGCCTGGGCTTGGAACTCTAGGAGGCAAGAGGGACGCCTGGGCTTGTCTCTGTTGGTGCTGGGGGCTGCCGTGTGGCAGCAAGCCTCGAGGGGCGCCAAGGGCCTTCACCTCAGCCTCTTGAGCGCTGTGCCCCACCTGCCTCTGGACACCTATGCTGGGCCGGGGCCACCCGGCTCTGGCATCTGTTTCTGTCCCTTCCCAGAGGGGGCAGATTCTGCCCAGGAGGCCAAGGCCTTGGTCACACCCTCAGCCCCTCCCTCACTGGCAGTCAGCCAGCTCCCCTTCAGGCTAACGGCCTTGGCCAGTGCACCACCCTTCGAGGAGTGCAGTCCTGGAACGGGGTCTCTCGGGAGGCCCTCCTACTGGCCTTATTTTGTCCTTTTAGTCTGAGACAGGAAGGGGGTTTGTGTGTAGGGCAGGGTAGACATAGTACCTGCCTGCCTCTAGCCACAGGCTCTTGCCCCTTCTCTCAGTATACCCAACCTTCTCTCAGTATACCCAAAGGGGCAAAGCCAGCTAGGGCTGGCCATATCCCAGCCTCCTGTAACCCCACGTAAAACCTCAGCCCTGTCAGACCCCCAACACCCACAGGCCTGAATGTCACCGAGGGAGGCCACAGAGCTCCTCTGTAGGTCCTGGCCGGCTCCACGGGGCCATGGTCTCAGGAAGCCCCCGTCCACTTTACTGTGACTGTTCCTTCCAAGATGTGAGAAAAAAGGGGGAAGGACCAAACCCCAATGTGGGGAGGGGACAGCAAATAGTCCAGCCTATAAGCTGCAGTCCCTATGGTTTGGGCGATCAGCCCCCCCACCTCCAGAAGGGCACACTGGGGCAGCAGCAACACAGAGAGAGTGACCCTAACGGGCCCTGCCCCCCACCCTAGGCAGGGTCCCAGAGCGAGCATCCAGCTTGCTGCACCCAGTGCTTGACACCTTCTCCAGCCCTGTCTGCAGAGAAGGGGAGGTGCCCAGGCTACATCCTCCTCCCGGCTTTTCCAGTTTGGCCCTGCCTGGCTCCTGGCCCCTGGACCACTGGGAGGAAGTGGCCAGCCTGCAAGGAAACAGCCGAGTCTCCTTTTCACTTCCCCTCCGGGCCTTCCCCAGTGTGACAGCTGAGATTCGCCAACAAAAGCCAAGGGTTTTACTCTCTGCCAGTGTCCGCTCACAAAGTGGACAGAGGCAGCACTGGCGGGAGTGCCCCTCTCTCAGGGTGAGGAGCCAGGTTCACCCCAGCCCGCCGGGCATTTAGACAGAGGCTCCTGGGGGCCTGGAGCTGAGCAGGGCGCTCCCACTCCCGCCCATGCAGCCCCGTGGGGCAGCTGCCTACACGTGCCCTTTCCCACGCCACACTCCACGGACAGCCAGGACCAGGGCCATGTGGTTAGAGGGGTGAGGCCCTGCCTCTATACCATGGGCTCACAGGATCAAGCCACTGGGTGTGCCTGGCATCTGTGCCCTGTCCTCGGAGGTAAGGTCCCTCCAGCGAGCAGGAAAGAGACTTGGGGCCGCTTCACTCCCTTCCAGGCTCTGCCCTCTGGTGTGACTGCTAGGCCACAGCCCCACCATCAGAGAGAGATGCAGACACATGCAGCAGTCCCCAGTAGGGCCGAGATGTGATCCGGTGCACTGCTACCCGAGAGACACTCCGGTGCTGGATTTCCGGGCCGGGATCTGGTGCCACCCAGGTGGGCAGAGGGGTCAGCGCACGGAACAGTCGTCTGACTGAGCAGCAGGAACAATAAAGGAATGCACCAATACTGAGGAGACTGTGTATCAGTGTTGGGACATGACCCCTGAGGGGGCTGCCCCGGTGAAGGCAGGCTGGTGCAGGGTCATGGCCATTCATGCATCCCCACCCGGCAGTGAGGGGCCTTTATCCAGTGAAGACTCAGGGAGACACCTCCCCACCACCTTGACTGGGGTCCCAACCAAAACAGCAGCAGCAAGACAGGAAGGGGACATGGCAGAGCTGCCTCACGCGTCAGCACCAGCTGGGGGTGTGGCCCCAAGCCCTCCCAGTGACATCTTGGTCCTCCGGAGGGGGTGATAAGCCACAGCTCTGCTGCTGGCCATCTCTGAATCTTGGGCATGGTGCTAGCCTGAGCCTTGGCTTCCTCTGTGATAACATGGGACAGTACACAGGAGTCAGCATGGAGGGGAGGTGGCCTGGATGAGAGCCTGAAAACGTAAATGCTAAGCCCAGATCCCAGATGCTGCCTAGATGCGATGGCAGGGAAAATGCTTCATCAGGTCTCAGGAGACCAAACCACAGGTCCCCTCCTCCAGGGAGCCCTCCCTGCCTGCACTGATGGCACACAAAAAGCCAATCTCAAAGAAAAGGCCGCCCCTTGTTCCAAGAAGGATCTAGGTGTGTGGGGCTACCCAGAAAGAACAGGAGGGAGACAACTGCTAAACCAGACCAGAGTCCTGCCTGCCAAAAACTTGGGCCTGAGCTTCCTGGCAGCCAAGGCAAAAGGATTCCCCAAGACGGGCCAGCCGCTTGTGCCTGAAAGCCATGCTAGCCAGCAGCCCACCGCAGAGAAGCCGGTAGAGCACACGCATCCCCCCAGACCTCGGCCTGAGATGACGGCACACCCCACACCTGCTGCTCCCTCACACGGCCAAAGCCTGCGTCTCCTCTGTAGGAAGTCATCCCTGAGGGGACACAGGCAGGATCACATCACGTCATGCTCTGTCACTGTGCTATCAAGGAGATGGCCTGGCCTGCTGGGCTCTACGAGGACTTCGTCGGATTTGTGCGGCTTCAGGAGTGCAGGGTCTGGTGGGTTAGGCGCTCAAGTTTATTCCCACAACAGGTCCGTTGGGGGCTTGTGTGCACCAAGCTCTTGGGTGCTGGCATCAGTGGGGCACAACCTATGGCCTCCACTGTGCGGACCCACCCCAGCAGGGGTGCCAAGTGAGTGTGATGGAGTGACCTCAAGGCACTTCAGTCAGGGCAAGGATGGGGACACGTGGCTCAGCGCAGGGGTCTCAGGGTCGGGGAGCGGACAGGTGGAGAGGGAGGCTGGGACACAGACCCCTCGCAACCCCCACATCCTGCAGCTCTGAGCCAGACCTGGTGGGAATTCTGCGCAGGGACCGATCGAGGGCAGCTGCCGCCTGCACCTCTGGGCCCGCATCTGAATACAGGCCCCAGGAGAGTCGGGGACATAACTGCAGATGGGAACAGGCTTAGAGGTCAGAAGCAGGACTTGACCCCCATCTGCCCAGCTCCAGGGCCCACGACATGACCGCCCTTCAGCCCCCAGCTCCCCGAGCCCATGCTGCTCTTCCTGCCAGGCCTTTGTAGGAGACCAAACCGCAGGTCCCCTCCTCCAGGGAGCCCTCCCTGCCTGCACCTCTCCCTTGGCACAGGCTTATCAGACGGAGCCACGATTTCCTAGTGACGCCGCTCCCCCATCTGACTGGCCCTCCTGGGGGCAAAGTTGAGCTATGCTGCCAGCTGGGAGCAGCTCTGGGGCTCCCCACCCCCAGAGAAGCTGCCTGAGAGGACTTGGGGATGGGGTATGGACAGATGGGTGGGTGGCCTGATGCCCCCAGCCCTCAAGTGTCAGCGCAGATGGGTCTACTTTGTCCCCCAGCTAAGCCAGTTCTGGGAGCTGAACTAATACTGAACTCTACTGGCCACGGGTCACTACCTTGGTTGCTCCCAAGCAGGATGGACCCTCACCCTCAGGGCCCTTCAGATGCCTGCTTCAGCCACTTGTCCTGTGTGACCTCAGCTTCCTCATCTATAATGAGGGATGAACCTGCCTGCCACCCACAGGGCTATCCCAGGCTACCCAGGGCCTGGTCTCCCCCTCAGTCCCCTGCCGCTTCACGCCCCAACACAAGAGTGGAAAAGGGCTGGGAGAAGCTTCGGAACACAAGGATCCAGTCAGCTTCCCCCAGGGAGAAGCCCCCAAAGCCAGAGAGAGAGACCAAGAAGCAACATGAGCTGATAGGGAAAGAGAGTCCTCCTCAGTCACAAAGACGTGGGAAAAAGCCACCCCCAAACCCAGCAGCACGACAGACGTGTACTGACCTCACCCACTTCCAGGCAGTGGAGCCCCAGGTCACACCCCAAGTGACCAGGGGTGGGGTGCAAATAGGACCCAACACCTGCCTTTCCCACCCCACCCAGCCTTGGACCCTCTGAAGCCCTCAGAAGCTCCTGTGTGTTGGATCATTAGCAAAGATCACAGGCCCAGGACAGACAGGCTGGTGGCTTGTCTGAAGCCCCAAGACTCCTCGCACCCCGTCAGCAAGAGAACCCCCGACAGAACCAGCGACAACAAGGACATGAAAGCTCCCTGAGATGCGGGAGCAGCCTCCCCTCAGGGACACCCCCACACCCCAGAGCCTGAAGGTGTGACACCACTCGGTCACCGCTATCTGCTGGGCCTGGTCCACCCCAAGCAGAGTGACTTGCATCATGACTGCTCCCTCCACCGGGCCTGCGTTGAGGATGGGCAGGCACTGCCCCCGAGCCTGGCCCTGGAAAATCTCACACCCTCCCTTCGTGGACGCCAAGAAGTGAACCAAGAAACCTACCAGCCAATCTCACGACCCTCTCAGCCTGGATGTCCCAACCTATCCCAGGTCCCCAGGACACTTCTGAAAGGCCCGGGGAGGCAGCCTTGTGGGGCCAGCTAGTGAGGAGACAGACACCCACCTTCTCGCCAGGCCCACGTCTGACACTTCCCATGCCCCCCCTCGGCGTGCCTTCACCCAAGCCGTGTCCCTGACCAGGCCCTGTGCTCTCAAGCGTGACAAGTCAGGACAGACACCTGGCAGGGCCTGTTGCTGAGCAACAGTGAGCCCGTGCGTCATGCATCAGGGCTCATCCCAGCTGGACGGGGACGACCCAGGAGCAGAATCCGGCTGCGTGTCTACAGCAGGCCCTGCTCAGCACCCGGAGGGCCCTGACACAGGGGGCCTGAGCAGGGATCAGGGGCCCGGCCCAGTCACCGGCCGCCTCCCCTACCACTGCCCACAGCACACCAGCTGCCATCAG